TATCATAACTTTAAGTTTATGCAAAGGCAAGATAATCATAAGCCCCTAAAATGTTAAAAAAAAAAAAATTGGTGGGGAAAAGGGTGCAGAAAGAATGCACCTTCTAGGTCAGGTGCAGTGGCTCACACCTGTAATTTCAACACTTTGGAAGGAAGGAGGGAGAATGGTTTGAGGCCAGGAGTTTGAGACCAGCCTGGACAACACAGCGAGACTCCATCTCTTTAAAATAAAATAAAAAATTAGTGGCACATGACGGCACTCACATGTAGTTCTAGCTACTTAAGAAGTTAAGGTGGGAAAATTGCCTGAGCCCAGGAGTTTGAGGCTGTAGTGAGCTATGATCAAACTACTGCACTGCACTCCAACCTGGGTGACAAAGTGAGACCCTGTCTCTTAAAAAAAAAAAGAATCCATCTTCCAAATAATGAATACCTCACATTCCTCCTCTATCAGCCATCCATTATCAATGTTTCTTTTCTTCCTTCAGCAAACACAATCAACTTCTATTACTTTATAGCTTGTGCATAATCTACATTTATTTACTTTCAAATGTTATTTATTACATATTTAGCCTTGTTTTCATTGTTCATCAAATGACATCTTTTTCTAGCTGTGAAAAGAGATTGAGTCTCTTGGGTTTGTATAGTATAAAATGCATTACATTTTTTTCTATCAAAATTAATAAAGATATTTTCTATTTTAAAGCTTTTCACTCTACAGCAGAATTTTCAGAAACAAATTAATATCTTTAAACACACACACATAAATAAAAAACACTAAAGAAAGGATACACCTCATTAAATAGGTGCACTCTATTTAAAGTTTCAAAAGGTGTCACAAAACTGGAAAAGAAAAGAATTACTATCAGCTGAACCATATTTATCAGGTACTGTTCAGGTAAACATATGTTAGTTCATTAATCCTTACAATAATCATGTGTAACAAGTATTGTCATTCCTTTTTGAGAACATAAAACTAAGACTCAGTGATGTGAAATGAAGTGTTCAAGGTCACACAGCTAGTAAGTAGCAGAGTCAGAACTCAAATCAAATGTTGCCAAATCTAGTGGTCATTTCTCTATGCTTATTTTCACTTCTCATCAAAATTCAACACAATCAACAACTCCCTTCTTCTTGAAACTCTGACTTCTCTTGGTCTCCAAATACTATATCCCCTGGTTTATTCCATCCTCACTGAGAGTGTCTACTTCTTAGCCTCCTCTGTTGAATCTACCTATTTTACCTGACATATAAGTTCTAGAGTTCCTCAGACTCAGGCCAGAGCCCTCTGAGACTTACCTCTTTTCTTGGATGACCTCATCCATTCCTATGGATTAAAATACCATCCCTATTTCGGTGACTCCCAGACATAAATATATCTCTAGCTCTGACTTACATGAGCTTCAGGTTTGACTATCAGGTTTTATCTGCTCTGTCTCTTGACATCTCCACCTCCATTTCTCAAAGGCATTATAAACTTCATGTATCCATAGAAGAAATTAAAAAAGGAATCATGACACCTCCCACCCCAATCTGTTCATCTTCCCAATCTAGGTAAACAGGAATCCTGTCCATCGGTTGTTCAAACCAAAAATCTAAGAGCCATTTTTTATTTCTTCCTTTTCTTTCATCCCCAGTATCCAATCCATCAGCAAGTCCTGTTGTTTCTACTTCTAAAATGTATTTTGAATTCCTCCATTTCTCTCCATTTCCACTACTTAAACCCAGGTGCCCATTATTTCTCACCTGGACGATGCAATAGCTTCCTCCTTGACCTCCTCTAATCCATTCTCCATACTGTAATAAGAGTAAACTTAAAACATCAAATCAGAATCATAAAAACCTTATAATGGCTTACTTAAGATAAAATCTTAATACGGCACTTAACGATAAAATCCAAACTCCGTATCATGATCTAAAATCTCTGCCTATCCTCCCAAACTCGTCTTATGCCTTTTCCCCCTCTTTTCACTATATTCTAATACGCACCGCTCTTCTTTCAGTACTCAGAATACACTGAGATCTTTCTGGCCTCAATGTCTTTTCACGTGCTGTTCCCTCTACCTAAAACACTTCCCTCATTAATTACCTAGTTAGCCATCCATCCGACCTCAAAGAGACAATCACAAACCATAATATCAGAGTTCCTTGTTTGTCTCCTTATGGTACTTATTATATTTTGTAATTGTTTTACATATTTATCTTTCTGTTGTCTACCAAAATAGAATATAAGAACCATAGGCCGGGCGTGGTAGCACACACCTGTAATCCCAGCACTTTGGGAGGCAAAGGCCAGAGGATTGCCTGATCTCATGGATTCAAGACTAACCTGGGCAACATGGAGAAACCTCATCTCTACAATAAATCAAAAAATTAGCCGGGTATGGTGGTGCACACCTGTGGTTCCAGCTGCTTGGAAGACTGAGGTAGAAGGATAGCCTGAGCCCAGCAGGTACAGGCTGCAGTGGCTGTGAGCATGCCACGGCACTCCAGCCTGGGTGACAGAGTGAGACTCTGACTCAAAACAAAACAAAAATAAATAAATAAGCACCATAAAGGCAGAGACTAATTAACTAAATTGCTTATATTATTAATTTTTACATTTTTCATGCCTGGCACAACATAGCTCTCAATAAATTGTTGCTGAATGAGTGAAAGCCAGGTGTGACTGATTCCAAACCAATGTTCTTTCCACCTTATCATGCTGCCACCTTAAAGGATCTTAGAAATCACCTAGTCCAAACCAGTAATTTTACAATGGAAAAACTTAGATCCAGAAAGGCAATTTATTTGCCTCAGGTCACACAGTAATAAGTAACGGCACCACAATGACCCCAGACTTTCTGACTTCTGATTCAGGCTTTTTTTTATGTAACACATTGCCTTTTGCTGACAGTCCCACTCAAAAATATGCCTAAGAAATTTTCTGCAAATGTGAGGTGGCGAAAAAACACCAGTAAAAAATTTAGCAACCATTTACAAATTCAGATAACATTGGGAAAGAAAAAAAATACAATTATAACAGTAGGACACAATGCATTTGGTTGCCACAATCTTTCACAGGGATTGGCAGTAGTGGGATACTGCCAGGGTGGGGGAGAGGGGACACATAAAATCAATAAGAGTACTTGATCTCAAACCAGGCAAAGTGGGGACCAAAGGGAGGCCCAAACTTTACCTGCATGATGTCCACTTGTATACCTAATCCTAAACTGTACCCCACATCCTTAAAATAAAATATTAAAAATAAATAAATAAACCAAAATCTTTCACATTATTGTTTTTAAAGGACAATTTGAAAACATAGACAATGGTTCTCTATTTTATGTTACATAAATCATTTACTTCACAAAATAAACATTTTATTTCATATGGATGATACGTTTAAAATACTCTTCTTTAGAGAAATCATACGTTGTTCCTAAAAACTTATTGTAAGTTTCCCTGATAGCCTGTAACTCTAAAATGCATACACATATAATATTTGTACAATATTTTTTTTTAGTTGGAGTCTCACTGTGTAGCCCAGGCTGGAGTTCAGTGGCATGATCACAGCTACTGCAGCCTCTATCTACCTGTTGAGCCCAGGTGACCCTTCTGCCTCATCCTTTCAAGGAGCTGGAACTATAGGCGCAGGACACCACGATAGGCTAATTTTTTTATTTATTGTAAAGATGGGGGGGTCTTGTCATGTTGCCCAGGCTGGTCCTGAACTTCTGGGATCCCAAAGTACTGGGATTACAAGACACGGGCCACTACACCTGGCCAAATTTGTACAATTTTAAAACTAAACAAGAAGCCAAGCAAAGTCTCTACAGTTGAGAATAACCACGGATAAAAAATAAAAGAAGGAACTATCAAACCCAGGAATCCTATACTGCCTGCTTCCAGAATCCAATCACTGGTCTGCAAAAGCATTTAGCTATGTATCAGTTTACTAAATCCATGAAGCAATACAGTCTACTTGTCATAACTGCCTATGGCCTTCTAGCTCCTTCCACTCCTCCAGAGTGCAAATCAGGTAGCTATCCATCTCGAGCTGCTGCTGTCACCTGGTGACCAATGAGGGAAGCTTTGATCCAACTTTTCTTTGCCAAAAACTTTTTTTCTTCCCTGTCTCACATTCGCCCCATCCCAACTTGTCCACATACACAATTCTATCTTCATATGAATATATTTTAATTTGCATAAGTTAGAAAAAAATCTCTATCATAATTTAGTCCTTAAAAACAGCTGTCTCTATCTACCTTCTTCCTCATCTTCTAAAGAATTCTTCATAGTTTTTCAAAAATATTAGAAACAATAAAATATAAATTATTTTACTTTTAGCATTGCAACAATATTTTACTGCAAATAATATGTACCTCAGTTATATTATAGTTTTTTGTTGTTCTTTTTTGGGGGTCAGAGTCTCACTCTGTTGCCCAGGCTGGAGTGCAGTGGCATGCTCACAGCCACCACAGCCCCGACCTGCTGAGCTCAGGTGATCCTTCTGCCTCAGCCTTCCAAGTAGTTGAAACTACAGGCATACACCACCATGCCGAGCTAATTATTTTATTTATTGTAGCGATGAGGTCTCACCAAGTTGCCCAGGCTGGTCTCAAACCCCTGAACTCGCAATCCTCTCGCCTCAGCCTCCCAAAGTGCTGGCATTACAGGCTTGAGCCACTGCTCCCAGCTATATTATAGTTTAATAGGTTTATGTAGACTATCCCGGTGAACAAGAAATTATGTACAGTATTGTTTTATGAAAATCTGCTTTTATGAAACTTTTGACTGATTTCCAACTTCCCTAAAATTACAATGCTAAACTTTCAAAGTTATTTTCATACAATCTGTCAGGCTCATTGGTTTTCTCTCAATAAAGTTTTCACAGTTATTATAAATACTTTGTTATTTACCTACCTGTTGTTCCAAATGTTATGTCTTTTAATTTTCATTGGGTCTTTTATGTCCACTAGATGTGTCTCTTTCTGTTGCTCATTAGAATATGCAAATTACTTCAGAATATACTGGACTTCTATAGATTTCAAGTCTCTGATTTTAAAGTTGTTATTTAGAATGTGGCAAAATAGTCCTGTTGGCAAAGTTTCAAAAAATGAATGTCAGTAGTTCAGAGCCCTTTCCTATTCACTTTAGAAACTCAAAATCCTATGTCAACCACAAACTAACCTAATATGAGAATGCATTACAGTAGAATACTGATAAAAGCATTCGTAAATCATGTATACTTTACAACATGGAGAACTCTCCCATTCTCCCACAGAAAGCCCAAACCTGTGCTGTCCACCTGTGGCTACTGGGTGCTGAGAATGGGACTAGCCCTAACTGAGATATGCTATATACACTGTATCTTTAAAGACTTAGTGCCAACAAAAGGATGTGAAATATCTTATTAGTAATTTTTATAATAATTACACATTGAAATGATACTATTTGTGATATATTGGACTATAGTAAATGCATTACTAACATTAATTTCAAAGTGAGGTCCAATGGGAAGCCCAAACTTCATCTGAACCATACCACTCATGTATCCAATCCTGACTTATATACCACATCTTTAAAATAAAAAAGAGAAAAAAAAACATTAATTTTACCTGCTTCATTTTACTTTGGGGGGTGTGGCTACTAGAAAATTTTTATTTACATATGTGGCTCACATTATATTTCTATATAGTCATAACAGAACTGTTAAAATTCTATGGTCTGACCAAGTGGAAGTATAAATTGGTATAAGTAGTTTGGAAAAACTTTTGGCATTATTTTCTACTCCTAAGCATATACCCAACAATAATGCATGCACATTTGCATTTAAAAAGCATACAAAAATGTTCATGACAGCATTATTCATAACAGTATTAATTTAAAAACTGGAAACAAGGCTGGGCGTGGTCACACACACCTGTAATCCCAGCACTCTGCGAGGCCAAGGCAGGAGGACTGCTTGAGCCGAGCAGTTTGAGATCAACCTAGGCAACATGGTGAGACCTAGTCTCTACAAAAAATTTTTTTAAATAAGCCAGGCATGATGGCACATGTCTGTAGCCTCAGTTTCTTGGGAGACTGAGACAGAAGAATCTCCTGAGCCCAGAAGGTCGAGGCTGTGGTGAGCCATGATCATGCCACTGCACTTCAGGTTGGGTCTCAGAGTGAGACCCTGACTCAAACAAATAAACAAACAAACAAAAACTGAAAACAACGCATATACCCATCAACAAGTGAATTCATGCAATGGAATACTATACAGAAATAAAATGAACACTGCTACTACTATGTAATAACAGTAATGATTCTTACAAATATTGTATACAAGAAGTTAGATATAAAAGAATATGTATTGTATGATTCTATTTAAACATACCTCAAAAACAGAAAAAGGTAGTTTATGATCTAAGAAGTTAGGATATACCTTTGAGTAAGTGGAGGTAGTAATTGGGAGGGAGGGAAGCTTTCAAGGTCACTGAAAATGTTTTATTTTTGACCTGGGCAGTGGTTAGTTACATAGATATGTTCACCTTGTGATAAATGAACTATTTACACTTAGGATTTGTGTACTTTTTTGTATGCCTATTATGTTTTAGTAAAAATATTAATTCAAAAAGTAAAAATCTGTGGCAATACTAAAATTTTGTTTATATTACTAACAAGACATCATTTAGAATTTGGAGCCTTTTTTGCTAAATTGAGATTTTTTTTTTCTTTAAAGGTGATTTTATCCTTAACATTACTTTCCCATTTATTAAACTCAAAGAATTAAAGAGCTTTATAGATGGGAAAGACTTAGAATAAACTAGTCTGTCTCTTTGGGAAGTTAGGTTACTTGCCCAAGATCAAATCAATATCAGTAGTGAGACTAAAATTTAGAACTTTCATTTTACATTTCAAGACTTTTGAAGTTTTCAATTTCAGTTGAGTTATATACCATTAGGGAGACTTGGATTTCCTCCAAAATCTTGATGATTTAAAGCATTAAAAGAAAAAAAAAGCTGTAAGTCACCAAATGTCAGTTATTCATTCTTCCATCTCAGTTATAATAAAATAATGAAATTATAAAACAAGAAAGGAAAGTCATACTTGACCTTTTGGTGAGGAATTTTACAAGAATTGGTAATCCATGTCCTTTGAATATTTTTTTAAACTCACAAAGACAGAAATAGAACATTTGTGTTCCATCAAATACAGTATTAAAAACAAAATAATCTCAATACACATTATCCTCTTTTACTTCTTGCAGCTTGTTTGTGAACAAGCTTAGGAGCAAAAGGATCCCAAGACTGATTCCTGTTGGAAATGCACCTACATTTGAGCTACTAGCAATTCGCAAGAACTCAAGGATATTTTGTTTCCTTCAGACTTTAAAATATGGCGACTCTTCCTCTTTTTCTTTCTTTTTTTCTCAAAGTTTTTTGTCTGGTTCAGAAATTTAAAATAAGCTATAGCAACATCCTTTACATCTATCTGGTCTTTTCCTGTTTAATTTTTTTTCCCCCAACTATTTTGTTTTGTGAGAGGGGGAGGAAGGAGAGTTCTAAGAAAAGCTTTTATAACAGGTTCAAAAGTATAAAAGCCACTTCAAGCTCCAGACATTTGTAGCCTTTATTTCTTTAGTCCTTGAAAGGGCTTTTTAAATGTTAACAGCTAGGACAGGACTGCTCTGCTGCACTGATGTTCCAGGCTTCATTTCCTTTGTAGTCTTGAGTTCTTCCCACCCTCAACACCCCAATATCCTCCATGCCTGCTTCTTTTTTAAAACAAAACAACAATTTAAAGAAATATATTTCATTCATCATGACACGTGTACAAGCAGACTTCTAAGTTCCCATACAGAGTGGCTACTTCCTATAATTCAGAGAATTAAAATATTTGACCTGGATTTCTTCTATAGGTGGTGATTTAATGTGCCCATTTAAGATGCCTTTATTTCTAAAATAATGACATGTCACGCACAAAGTTATTGCAGTTAAAATAGCTAATAAGAAGCTTTGTTGGCTACTTTTCCTTAGAAATGCTGAAACACAATCTTCAAAAAATAACAGTCAAAATTCATTTATGTACTCAAATTTGTAACAAGTAGGCTTAAAACCTTTGGCACTTAACATTTTGACTAATGTTCTTTTTATGTTTACATGAGAAACATGATTTTACAATTTGGGATATTATACATTAAAATTACTATTTACATAATACAAGTATAAGTAGTTAAATATAATTCTATATATGTGGATTTTTTAAAAGTATGTAAATAATGTACTGAAAAGTAATAAAACAGTATTTGTTTTTTAAACAAAGCAAAAACTGACTTTACTAATTAGTAAAGTGAACAGTTTGATTAGGAATAAATTTCAAATTCCTTGAAGGCAAAAAACATGGTGTCTCTTTCTTATGTATCCCCCAGAAATGTTTAGTAAAGTTTTCTATACCTTAATAAAATCAAGGTGGGGGCAATCCCTTCGGGTCCCCTCCCACTGTAGGAGCTTTACTGCCCTCTCAATAAATCTTGCCTTAAAAAAAAAAAAAAAAAATCAAGGTGTGTCAGAAAATATTTGAGGTAGTACAAAATTTAGAAACTTCAGACCAGTTTAAATCATAGAACATTAGTAAATGATAAAAGCATAATGAAATACTGATACATTAAATAGGAAAAACTAATTTAAAAAGTCTTAATATAAGTAATGTATATGTATGCCACATAAAAACACAACCACAAACACAAAAGTCTGTCAAACAAAATATGACTAACTCTAAGTTTTCCTATTAGTAACTTTTCTAAAGTTGAGAACATTTTAAGGGAGAAAATCTTAAAACTGGGAAAATTTCATCTACTCAATTTTTCCCCATCAACTAAGAAATGATTGTCATTATTTGAATTTTGTAACAACTAAGTTCAAATCATAGAAGCATAGTTTGATGAAGAAACTTGAGGCCCAAAGAATGTCAATGACTCTCTGAGGTCTCAAAGCTACTTAGATAGACAACAACACTATTTAGTATAAAAATTATAATTCGCATCAGTACTATATTACATAAAACTAGATTTTTGCTGGGGAACGGTGGCTCACACCTATCAACCCCACACTTTGGGAGGCAGAGGTGAGAGGATTGCCTGAGCCCAGGGGTTCAAGGCCAGCCTGGACAACTAGGAGAGACCTCGTCTCTACAATAAATCAAGAAAAATTAGCTGGGCATGGTGGCGCACATCTGTAGTACCAACTACTTGGAAGGCTGAGGTGGAAGGATCACCTGAGCCCAGCAGGTCAAGGCTGCAGTAACTGCGAGTGTGCCACCTGGGCGACAAATTGAGACTCTGACTCAAAAAAAAAAACTAAATCTTAAATATAAAAGTATTTTAAGAATTAATTACTGGGCACAGAAATTAATTAATTGGCACAAGCACATGGAGGGAATACTTTGTATTTTAGACTACAGTCTTGCAAGAAAATAATTCTCCTTTCATGAAGGTAAGCATCCTAAATTTGCAGGAAATGAATTATTTTTAAGTTTTCACTCACATACACCATGAGTAATTCTGTAGCAGCATAACACAGTGATTAAGAAGATAAGCACTTGGAGCAAGACAAGGCCATCAGCTCCACTGGTTTTAGGAATGTGATCTTGGGCAAGTTACATAACCTCTATATGCCTGTTTCCTCATTTGTAAAATGAGATAATAATAGAACCAAACATATGTAAAGCACTTAAGGAATAAACTGGGCATAAAGTAAGCATTACCAACCAACATGTTTGTCAAGTCAGTCGTTCTGAAAATGTGGTCCTCAGACCAGCAGCAGTAGTGTCTAGGAACTTGTTAGAAATGTAAATTTTGGGACGCATCACAAACCTACCAAATCAGAAACTCTGGTGTAGAGACCAGAAATCTAAGCTTTAACAAAAAGTCTTTCTGGTGATTCTAATGTACACTAAAGTTGGAGAACTATCAGTACAGATTAATAAGATTGTATCTTTCTTCTCTCTCTCTCTCTCTCTCTCTCTCTCTCTCTCTCTCTCGCTCTGTGTGTGTGTATTCATTAATATAGTTGGTGTTTTGCATACCTCCTCTTTTGTCACAAAACTACG